AATCACTTTTTTGATATCTTTCAAAAGAAGTGAGATATATAGGCTCAAAGTGGACGATCCGGGTGTCGTTCTATTAGAGGTTTTACGGTATATAAGTTTGGTTGACTATACGAGTACCTACCGCATTTGCTCCAATAGAAGCCCTCCCTATTTGAAAACTCAATCACCTTGGCTCCTTTGAGAGATATCAAAAATTGGTGAACTGGTAAAATGTTGCTGATATTACGATGAACACTTTATAAGTTGACCCTTTTTTTAATACCTTTGACACAAAACGAGATGATTGAGCTCAAAGTGTATGTTCCGGTGGGCGTCTATTAGAACAAGTATGGTGGGTTGAAATAACCAGATTTAACATAAATTTACCTCTACTTTTGCATTCTTCAATGTTTTCTTTTCTTTCAAAATATTAAATCTGAATTTCACCTAGATACTGTGATTTTCAGAAATCTTTCAAAAAAAAAAAACAGAAAAATTGATGCCTCGAGTCCTGGTATCAGTGTAAATTTTTAACCGTTTTTTTGAACCCCACTCGGGCATTTTTTCCACTCCGAACGAAATCTGACCATGGCCCGCTATACAGCCGTTTTTGGCCAGTTCAGACCAAAAGCCGAACCCTTCACAATTTCTGCCCAGAAGTAATGAGGCACATTACTAATGGCCCGACAGCCAAGCATTTATTGTTCAGGACATGGGTTACAAAGTTTCAGATCAATCATACTAATTCCCCTACTTACCGTAAACTTGTAATAAAAGGGACCCCTCACCGTCAATTTTGAGCTAATTTTCCTTGCTTCTATGCAAGATAGAAAAAATGGGTCAACCACTACAGGAAAAAAAGAGGAAAAGTTGACAGACCCTTTCATTACAAGTATTACGATGTATTCCTTTCGTCCTTATTAGTTCTATTCCGATCGAGTTTATATACCAATCAGATTCGAATCTTTGTTGTTCTTATACTTCATATCTAATACATCATCTCAAAAAATACCATTTTCTATATTCTCTGTTTTCCCGGCTTTCTCCTTTCGGTTCCATTGATAGTCGATCTGAAATCTACATATACAGAGAGATGTCGTAACTGGTAAGTGAGAACCGGTGTCATCACTGTGATAACAGTGTAAGAACGCAGAAACAGAGACTGTGTGTTTGTATGTATTTTGCCAAAACCAGACGTTTTCGCGCAAGCCAGTGGGGAGGAGACTTCTCTTCCGAAGACACACTACTTGTTTCTCCATAGTAGTAATTGGGATAAGTATATAAGATCGACTTGTTCTCCCTAATAAGCATCATTCTTTCAGTCTGCATTCATTCGGCACTTGCCATTTTGGAATAACGGTTATTTTTTTCTTTTGGCTATCTGTAGAATAACATTGATCCTCAAAAACCCTCTATGTCTATCCTGATCCTCTCTCAATTCTTGATTTTTTAGAATGGCTACCTACCTTCGGTTGGTAGTAGTCCTGATCCTGACGGTCCATGTTTCGTCATTCCTCTTCCCTAGTTTAGGTGGAGGTGGCGGCGGAGGTAAGTACCTTAGAATCGCTTTCTTGAACCTAATCGTTTGATCCCTCTAGGCTGCGGAGGTGGCTGCGGAGGCGGCGGAGGATGTGGTGGAGGATGTGGACCACCACCACCACCACCATGCGGAGGAGGATGCGGAGGAGGAGGTGTATGCGGAGGAGGTGGAGTATGTGCTCCAGCTCTTCCACCACCACCACCATGCGGTGGAGGTGGCGGCGGATGCGGAGGAGGATGCGGCGGAGGAGGCGGAGGATGCGGAGGCGGTGGAGGTGGATGCGGAGGAGGTGGCGGAGCATGTGGTGGTGGAGGCGGAGGCTGCGGAGGTGGAGGTGGCGGATGCGGAGGAGGAGGTGGAGGATGCGGCGGAGGAGGTGGAGGTGGATGCGGAGGAGGAGGTGGCGGATGCGGAGGTGGAGGCGGAGGATGCGGAGGAGGATCCAGCGGAGGATGCGGAGGCGGAGGAGGTGGATGCGGAGGCGGAGGTGGC